TTCCCCCCACACCTACCCAAGATCCACTCTCTACCCCATCTTCCGCAAGAAAACAGCAGGACTCCCGGGGACCATAAATGGAACATAACACAAGATACCGTAAGACCAGGCAGATCATGTCATCAAGGCTGGACAAGGCAACCCTGTAGGATTAAAAGGGTCCCAAGCGCAGGCAAAACAGTCAGAGCCACCTCCACTCACATTGTCAGGAGTTCCCCCAAAATATCAAGCCAACCACCATAACATATATGCAGAGGACCAGAATTTAATCTTTAGAACTCACAGAAAAATCTGGACATAATGAAGTGAATGTGCAGCCCCGGGGCTGTGGTGGCAGAGACAGACAGATCTTTGGAGCTTACAGGACAGCCAGCCTTTCTTAATCAGCAAGCTCCAGGTCAATGAGGCCCTGTCTCAAAACCCCTGAAGAACACCTGAGGTTGATCTCTGACACAGGTACACACACGCATGCACAAAAGCATGCACTGCGTGTGCGCACACACACGTGTGCATGTGTTCACCCTACAGCACCATGGCCTCAGAACGCTGTCTCTCTACTCATCCTACCTCATAAACACACAAGACACTGCTTTGTTGACAGCAGTGTTGAGAACAATTGTAGCTGCTATTAGCTAATTCAGAAGTATGACAATGGCTCATACAATAGATAAAATCCTACAGACGAGTGAAATACTTCTACTGTTAAAAAAAAGAAAACTAGGTTTCCTAATCATTTTAAATACTACTGTAGTAACTCCATATGAGATTGAGTTTTTCATTCATAACTATTAGTTGGTCCATTTAAAGTGCTTTTCTCTGTTAACATCGAAGTATTTAAAGCAGCTAAGAATATCAATTCCCTAAAAGGCAAAATTGATTCAATTCACAAGATAAATGAAACGAAACAAAACCCTTATTGCTGCTGGCAGAACAGCAAACTAGTTTAATACTATGGAAGCAAGTATGGGGTTTGTCAAAACACTAAAAATAGACCTGCCCTGATGTGACCCAGCTACACGACGCCTGAGCGCATATGGAGGATTCTGCAGCCCACTGCAGAAGATACTTGAACGCTCATGTTTATTGCTCCTCTATTCACAAAAGAAAAAGAGAATAGCCTAGATGTCCATCAACAGGAAAATAATGAAAATGTGCCAAATACACACAATGGAATCTTACTCAGCTGTTAAAGCAAAATGATAAGACTTGCAGGTGGAACCCAAGAGTGTACACTGAGTGCCACGGCCCAGTCTCAGGAAGACTAACACTACACACATATTCTCTTTCATGCCCAACTCCTAACTTTTAAAGTTTGTGTGTAAGTAAATAAGGAGTTGTACAGGTAGGTACCAGCTATGAACGTAGGGATTCCTGACTCAACCGGGGTTTCTATTGCAGTAGCAAACACCATGACCAAAAGTCACTTGGGGAGGAAAGACTTGCTTCCATATTACAGATGGCAGTCCATCATGAAGAGGGGAGTCAGAACACAAACTAGAGGCAGGGACCTAAGCAGAGGCCAGGGAGACATGTTGCTACTGGTTCTCTCAGCAGGCTCTCCTCACGGGCCACGCCCACATCCATCACTAATAAAGAAACTGCCCCACGGGATGTCCACCACTCAATCTGACGGAGGCATTTTCTCAACTGTCATTTCTTCTTCTCTGGTAACTATTGTATATCAGTGTACATAAAATCATGCACCATGAAAGGGGAACAAGAGGTATCGAGAAGAGGAGTGACGAGGGGGCACATGCAATCTGAATGGTGTCAAGAAGAGCACTGGAGTCGAGGGAACGGGGAGAGGGGAAGCAGGGAAGAAAGGGGAAGGCTGCACTAGTTTGCTTCCCTGCTGTTCCCTGCTGCTGCACGAAAACACTGACCAAATGTAATCTGGGCAAGGGAAGGGTTGACTTGGCACAGTCCGTTTCGAGGGCAGCCAGGGCAGGAATGCGAAGGCGGGAACCACTGAAGTCACAGAAGAGTATAGCTTCCTGGCTCACTTCCCAAGCCATCCTCATCTTGCTTTTTGATCTGTCCCGGAACACCTGCCCAGAGGGTGGAACAACCCAAGTTGGTTGGGTGGGTCCTCCCTCATCAGTCACAAAGCAAGAAAATGCCCCCAAAGTCAGGTCCAAAGGCCAAGCCAATGAAGGCCAATGTCTCAACGGAGGATCTCTTGTCCCAGATGACTGTAGTTAATATCAAGCTGCCAAAAAATATCCAGGATGAAAGAAATAGCAAAAACAAAATTTGAAAAATGTTATAACCAAACCTAATTCTTTGTGAGCCAGTAAAAATAAAATACTTTGTTTAGACGTGTTCGCACTATGTATCCCTGGCTGGTCCTCAACTCTCTATGAAGACCACACTAGTCTTGAGCTCACAGAGACAAGCCTGCCCCACCACCCAAGTACTAGAATTAAAGGTACATAATATCATGCCTGCCAAACACATTTTTTAAAAAGATAGTTGATAATAAATATGTTTTATTTCTGATGCCCCTCCCCTCAAGTGACAATGCTCTCCAATTTGTTAGCCTTCCCTAAACACATCTAACTATAACACTTCTTTATTTTATTTTATTCTAGTTTGTACCTATTTCAACAGGTTTCATAAGGACTTATATTTTAGCTTCCCTAATTCCATCAATTTAAATACCTGGCCTTAGCTAGAGATTCTTTGAGAATTTCATGTCATGCACCCCAATCTTACTCATGCCCAGCCCTTTCATATCCTCCCCTTGCGCCTGCAGCATACCCCCCCCCCAAAAAAAAAAACCTCTGAAGAATAAATTTAAAACAAAGCAAACAAAAAACCGTCTCTGTTATGGAGTAATCTTTTTGTATACTATGAAGATGTGTCTGCTAAGGCACCCGCTGATTGTTTAAATAAAGACCTGAATGGCCAGTAGCTTAGCAGGAGAGGAATAGGCAGGATTTCCAAGGAGACAGAAGAAGATCAATCTAGGCACACGGAGATGTCAGCAAGATGCAGACCAAGTAGGATATACAGAGACTAAACAAAAAATAATACAGCTAGCTCTCCTAGGACTTGACCATTATCCCAATTTTCTCAGGGTCCCCTAAAGATGTCATCGCCTTCGGACAACAGGAAACAATCTAAAGAACACAACTGCCACATTCTCAAGAGGTGGAGTGGGTGGTTTTGGGCCATTCAGTGGGTTATAAATGTTGGTCATCATTTGGGGGTGGGGGGAAGGTTTCAGGTTGTTACTGGTAATGGTCAGGAAGACAACTAAAAAGATCAGATTAGATTAAGAAATCTCTTTCTGAAAAGAAAAAAAATAGTATATTTTGACTCTACTTTTCAACTAAAAAAAAGCGACTACTAACCTCAAATATTTTACATTGGTATAGATTTTTGTATATTGATACAAATTAAGCCTATTTTTGTTTTAACATACCGTATGTATGTTTCTATTCTTATTTAAGGCATTGTACCTGAGTAGCTCATTTTATAATGTAAAGTTCTAGTTCTTAAAAGCTATTATTACAAACTGTTTAGGATAATTAAGAAATGCAGGTTAGTAGTTAGTCATCTATAACCATCAAAAATGTAGTCATGTTAGGTATGTTTTCAAGGTTAAACATATATATTTTAGACTGATGATCTTCAAGCAATTCAGAGACCTACAGAATATGGAATTTAAGATATTTTAATAACATAAGGCTTTTCATGACAGTGAGACACATTTGCTCCTGGCAGCACCAATCTACTTCAAAAAAAAAAAAAAAAAGGATGATGGGCATCAAAGAACCTCCATATGGACCCAGACATGGCCCTAGGCAGCAGCCCATGGCTGAATGACACCATGGCCCTAGATGGCAGCATAGCCCACCCAGATTGGCATGGCCCCAGTGGCATGGCCCTCAAACAGAATTGGAAAAAAGAAAATTTTTTTCGAAACAGGGTTTCTCTGTGTAACAGCCCTGGTTGTTCTGGAACTCACTCTGTAGACCAGACTGGGCTCGAACTCATAGAGATCCACCTGCTTCTGTCTTCCAAGCACTGAAATTAAAGGTGTGTGCCACCACTACCCAGCATAGAGAAAATTTTCAAACATATATACACAAAAAAATAACATCATACATATACTAACATAAATGCTTCGGGTCTAGATATTTATTTATTTAAAAAATCACTAAACAACTTCTGTATGCCAAGTACTATCCTGAGAGACCAGCACTGACTGAGAAAATCAAGAAGAAATCCAACCCTGAACAAATCAAAGCTGACCATGCAGCCTTACTATCTAGTTGGGATGAATGAGTACAGATAAGCAATAAGTTAAAGTAACAGGCAGCATTAACAACTGTTAATCAAAGATCAAGGCAACAGCAATTTTAGCCAGAGAGGTCCCAGGATTCACTGAGAAATACCATGGTGGAAGGAGAACACTGCCCACCTGTTTAAGGTCAAGGTTTAAAGTCAGAAAAAGCATTCAGGCTGCTGGTGTTGGCCAAGGGAAGAGGCTGGTGAGTAGGACAGTTGTTCATAAAAGGATTCTAAGCACAGGAGTGGCGTGATTTCTGTCCTAACAGGATCGTTCTGGCTACAATGCGGAAAGCTGTGCTAGCAAGATTAACTAGCATCAACTGTCATTACAAAGGCAAAGGCAGTGTTACTGACCAGAAAAGAGCCAGGGAACATAGGGTAGGAGGGAGTAACCAACACCAGTAAGGCTTGCTAAATTGGAGTAAAAACAAGCAGGAAAGCCAGTCGGGGGATGCTTTGGCCCAGACAAGAGAGGATGGTCTGCCCAGCACCTCCACAGCTGAGTTGTGCAGAGATCAACACGGGCAAAATCATGGGGACATCAACAGGACATGCTGAGTGAAGAGAGAGTAGCTGTCAGCTGCACCCTAGACTTCCTCGCGCTCACCATGAGGAGCGCTGAGTTCTCAGGGGGTGCAGGGGACAATCACTTGAAGAATCGACAGGGAGATGGAAATACCGCAGCACACTGCCTCACTTACCCAAATTGGGGTCTGGAGCCTGGCGCTTCTTAATCTTAGCTTCAGAAATAGCAGAATAATAGGCACAAGTCATCTTGATCAGCCACGTTGCTCGAACCATTGGCACAGAATACTTAGCTAAATATGCAAAAACGTCCTCTTTTTTACTAAGGATGGGGACCTAGAAAGAAATAGCATACGATGATCAGACATGATAGCATTGCTAGGCGAACTTACAGGGAAGGGAGCAAGGGAAGGGCTGGAAGTTAGATGCTGCTATAGGAAAGACTGGTGCACTTTCAAACAGTACATGTGGTATTAAAAGAGGTAAGAAATTTTAAGCCAATTTTTACTAAGAAACGGAAATCAAAATTATGTTTCGCACATGGAAAAATGGTTATCAGCTGTGCTTTTTTATTTATAAAACAAAATCTTGTCGCATTTCCAGATGAGGAAAGTTATTAAATAATTCCATGATGCTCTTCCAAATGATTGATCCCCAAATCAGACGGGACAGTTCGGCTAGGCTTTGTCACCATCCTACATTTTATCTGGGGACACTTTTCTGTATTGGGCCAACTGCAACATTTCATAAATGCAACCATTTCCAGAAACCATCTGGAAGTATCTTTAGCCCAAAGTATTAAGTAGAGTCTAAGATGATGGATCATTGAATCCGCCTAATACACACTGAGCTACAATAGCTGAGCAATTAATTCGCTGGCTGAAGTAGACACTTGAGGCTGTTAATTATTTCTTCAAGACCACAAAGGTACAATTCAGCAAATTAGTATCCCAATATACCAGTGCATAGTTCGAAAGAGTTAATTCATTCTTCCAGAATACCTCATAAATACCCTATAAACATTCTGCTATTCTATGTAATTTATTTAATTGATGAATATGACAACAATAGTCAACAGGAGGACATTTGCTCCAATGCAGCGGGAAGGGACTAGTAAAGCTGTAAGGTGCACACCCTCCACACCCCTAGCAGGGTGATTCCTTCTGTGATACTTCCCTAGGTCTTGTCTGTCAAGCCCGCTATTTTCCAGCCATATATGAATTTTGATAGTACCAATCCTATGCACCTCACAAAGCGGGTATTCCATTTTTTTTTTAAACATGGGCATAAAAACTACAGCAAGGAGGATTCTGTCACCAGATTAGGTATTTCTCTACACCAGCCCACGTGTTTTCATGCCGTGGATTTGGCCCCTTCAAAAGAAGACACTGGAACCCTGCCTCGGATATCAAGAAACCTGATCTCTCTACCCCAAAAATCATTCTTAAATTTGGGTTGCAAAGTCAAGGCTTCAAACCTGCCAATTCATAGAGCATAGCATTTTTCTAATAGCTTGCAAGTCAAAGTGGACTTTTAAATTTAACTATTTGCATGCCTGGTACAACATGTGACCTCTAGAATTAAAAAGCTCACCTGAT